ACAGCTTGTCAGGTCATGTGTTCGCGCGTGGAGGGGGCAGCTTGACAGGTCATGTCATAATCTTCCTGTTTTCTGTCAGGATAGCTCATGGAGGCTGTATGACATCATGCAGATTGCTAGGCTAGCACAAACCCCTCATGTACACTGCCTCTTCAATCTCAAATAACTCAAATTACATCATGTAGGCTGTACAACTAGCTAAATTACCTCATTGTACAGCTCTGACCAGCTAAAATCTCTCATTCTCTTGCTCCCTTGGAGCCAAAATCACTCATTGTTGTATATTTAAGGAGGCTCTCATCCCAGTTGTTTTTCCCCTCAGTTTAGTACCAACAAATCACATACCCCCTACCATTACATACCATACCATTACCATTACATACTGTAACAACCTTTATAACACCCAATAACCACCCTTACACTTGTAATACACACTAAACTCACTCTCATACTCTCAAAACCTCTTTTCTTATCAAATTTATTACTATCAAACAAATTATTCTTGAGACAACCACCCCTATCACTTGATTAAAACTTGCCAAGCTAAGCTTGGTGGGTCTTGTTATCTGATAGTACAGAAGGGCAGAGTTTGCAACTCCACCATACCCTTCAACATTCAGAAAAAGGGTTCTCACAACCACTTTTGAGTCTTACAGCGGCCGTAGTGGCGCGCTAACACTACAAAAAAATTGTTTCCGCTATGCTAACGCTACATGGGCCCGTAGCGTAGTGGACCACCGCTGATAGTACCAAGTAGGTAAAATTTCCTTGATACTTCAGTTGTAGGCATTTGTCTGGGCATACTCCTTTATTACAAAGGACCAGATCATCATTTACATAAAAAATACCCCTGTTTTTAACAAGTGCTGATTCATTGGAGGGACGTACCATAAAAACCCATGTAAAACATGCCCCTCCCTTTATACAAACTTAACAGTTTTTTTATCTCTTTTCTTAATATCAAAAAACTCTCCATTCCAAGTGTTAACCACACTTGTACATATCATTTTATTAGTTTGAACCTTGTTTTGCTAGAAGAGACAAGCTCTTGGCATCACACAGGCTGACAAGAACATCATAGAATTGAATTCTGAGTCAAAATAAAATTCAGTGTAGAGTATGGCCTGATCACTTGCATGTGAACTTTCACAAATTGATTTAATTTCCCTTTTATTATTGTAAGCATTTTCAATTTGATCAATCTTATCTGTAAAAATTTGAAGTGAAGAGATACATAAAACAAATGGGAATTGGCATACTTCTCATTTGAAGTCAATATCATGGTGTTTCAAACTAATTTTTGGAAATGGAGGGTTTTCATCGAATCTTTCATGGAAATAGATAAATTAGGGTGTATCAAA